CGAAATTTCTCCATACTAAATTTCAGTCCGCTATAACTTTTCAAACAGACCTTCGAAAAATCTTAAATTTTGCAAGTATCTATCTAATGCCTACAAAAATTTACACAGCAAAAATTAGAAAACCCCCGCCACAGGCGGCTGAGAAAATACAAATTAAACTTCCCCGAACGCACAGTTTTCGGGTGTCATTTGTATTGATACGTCGCCAAAAATCGAAAAAATCAAGTTGTGTTTTATTTCTTTTCCAGGCCGAGAAAATGGTTTTCAGCCATCAACCCACCATGAATTCGTTAAGGTTCTCGAGATAATCGCGCCCAAACCTGTTGTTTTTTTTGGCCCACCCTGTAGGGACCCCGCGCACGGCCTGCCCGTGCTGTGACAGGCCATTCCGCTCCTTTGCGGGGTGGGGCGCCCCTCGGCCCCTCGCCAGGTTGTAGCTGTGGCTGACTGGTATGCATCCGCGCCTCCCGAGCGGGGGGCCCGGGTTCGACCCCCGGAAGCGGCAAAAATCTTTGCTTTTTTCCGAAAAAACGTCCCTGAACGTGCCCTTTAAGACATTCTGAGAATATGGCAAGCTAGCAGAGAATATTGTGGAAAGAGAACACTGCTTCGAATAGGTCCAACCATGTGACTAGGCGAGCTAGCAGAGATTCTTTGAAAATTCAAATCAGCTACGGCGACCCTCGGTATCAGGTTAATGGCGGCTAGCAGAGATTCTTTTGGAACCAGGTGGGCTAGCAGAATTTTTTGGGAAAAATTGTATAAAAAACAACAGGGCCCAAAAAATCGCAATCTCGCATTTTGAAGAGGTCGAAAATCAGGGAAGCTAGCAGAGATTTTTGAGAAATGTCGGTAAAAATCTTTCCTTAAAATTTGGTCAGGTAGGCAAAGGTACTTGCATCATCTTAAATTTGACGAAATAGCCATAAAATTTAGAAAATCCTATGAAAAAACGTCAAAACTTGGCGCATGCTTGACAGGATTAAAAATACATAAAAATATGAACTTCAAGGTTTCTAAAATATATTTAGTCAATTTCTCAGCTGCAGAAATCATTAATAATTATCCTAGGTCCGAATAGTACGAAAAACCCATAGCGACATGGCCTCATTTTAGTGGGGTCCAATAGCCGTAGCGCGGCGGAAATCCCGTTGGCCTTCTCTTTTTGGGCCCACGGCCAAAATACGCACGCTGCTGGGGGGAGGGCCAACCAAGAAGGGGGCCCAGTTTCTCTCCCTGGACAAACACTCGTGGTCTGCGAGACGGGGAGCCGGGGCTTTTGGCCAGCAAAATGGAGTTTTACGCAGCTCCTCTAACTGACCACTAGAAATGGGGAGGAGGTGACCGGAAAACGGGTGCCCTTTGAGTGCGGGCAGGGGTCGGCTTTGCAACAACATTGGGAAAGTTTTGAATTTTAAGGCATTTTTCCATGCGTGATCTTTTCCATCTTTTTCTCGTAATGAACCTTTCACCCTCAAGCGTCTTTGCTAGCTTGCCAGGTCCAAAATTAAGAATTTTCTACTAGTGAGCCTGATCACAAAAATTTTAATTCCCCACGACCCTCCGCTAGCTCGTCCATATCAAGCTCCGAAAAAATTTGAAGAAGGTTCAGACGAATGTTTCATAGTTTGAGACCAAAGGTTAAATCTTCAGCAAAAAATCATGAATCTTTGATCAGTACTCCCAAAAATGGTCTCATCTAGGACCCGTAGAGCTCAAGTAAGGGCCATAAGGGGCCTTGGCAAAGGGCAAGGGGCCAAAGAAGGGGCCCACAAGGAGAGGGGTCCCGGGAATAAATTGTGACGACGTCGTGGGGGCGATGAGGGATGGGCATGTCGAGGGAAAGGGGTGAAGGAGGAGGCAATGCAGAGAAGGTGAGCGATGAAACAAGACGCAGTTCTAGATGCTTTAGAAGGTTTGCAATCTAACGTAGGAGAAAATTTACTCTAAACGGACCGATTTTACCCATATTTTGCCTGGCTTAGCAAAATCTAGCCTTTGAGAAACTGTTCCTCGAAGACGGTTACGCATTAGAATTCTTGGAAATAGCGTTTTGTTTAGAATTGCGAACAATTGCGATTACAAGCTCTATCGAATGCGTGAAATCGCAAATCCTGCAAAACTCCAAAAAAGCACCCAAAAACGAAGCCTGCAAGCGAAAAGTCGTGCAGCTTTGGGGCGGACGCGCGAATGGGGTGGCCCTTTGCAACTGAATCGTGAGCAGGAGAAGCTAGAGAGGGACCACTGGGCCTCACACACATCCCGAGCTACACACAAAAAGGAACAAGACCAATGGCCACTCTCGAGACCCTAGAGCAACAGCAAATCAATTTCCTGCTCCACAACGCTGACATTGCAGGGTGGATTGGGCGTGATTTTATTTGGGGAAATAACATAGGAAAACGTGACCGTATTTTCATTTTTCGTATTTTATATTGGTATTATCTTATACCAGCTGAAATTTTTAGATTTGCAAGAGAAAAACTTGAAAGCTAAATCGAAAACGAGTCCGATCAAAACTGCTAGATCCAATCAATAAAAATTAATACTTGAAAAGTAAGTAAAAGCTCGAGAAACATGTGATTCCCTCAACAACACCCACACATGGACAGACACCATGAATCAATTGGCCTCTCTGGAAATGGGGGAGTAGCAGAAGGGACATCTGAAGGCAAAAACGGATAGAAGACGAGAGAGAAAGAGAGAGAGAGAGAGAGAGAGAGAGAGAGAGAGAGAGAAAGAGAGAGAGTGCCCATGGCGATCAAATCAGGGGCCCTGGCTTCTTGGCATGGAAGGCCCGCGGGAAAGAGCGCAATTTAGCAGGGGGCACGGAGCAGCAGCCAGGGCCGGGCTTGCTAAAATGCACTTTGCTCATTCTCCCTTGTCTCTTATTGCCTTTTTGGCCCCTCTTGCTCCTCCTCCTGCTCCTCCTGTCCCGCGCAAACCCCTGCTAAATGCTCGATCCATGACACCAGCTGAGAGCCGCTCACTAGAGTGGACATCTGTCTATTTAGTGTTGGATTTGACCAGGCCTGGGTCAGGGCCGGCCCGGGCCGGCCCGGGCCGGCCCTAAGGTCAAAATTTTCGGCCCGGCCCGGCCCGGCCCGACGGGCCAAATTCTCGGCCCGGCCCCGGCCCGGCCCTGGGCCGGCCCGGGCCGGCCCGGGGCCGGCCCTACTTTCTGGCCTTAACTAAAGCCATGCATCAGAGGAGTCCTGACATCAGCTGAGAGTACGTTTTAATGTCTCAGGTCATGCCAAATGGCATTGCAGTTATTTCAGATTGTTTCCGGTAGAAAAAAGCAAAAAGCAAAAAATTGACCTCGGGCGGGGTCGAACCCGGGTCGTTTTCCTGGTAAGCGATTTTGATCAAAAATGCTTTTTTTTTGTTTAAGCTGTGTAGATAGATAGCGTAATCCTTATACATGCGGAAATAGTAAAGATTAGCTTTATATAACCACATTTGAATTGATTTCTAATTCGTGCAGAAAGGTCGGGGCCGGCCCGGGCCGGCCCCGGGCCGGCCCGGGCCGGCCCTGAAAATTCGAGGGCCGGCCCGGGGCCGGCCCGGCCCTGAAAAATCGCGAAAATCTCGGCCCGGCCCGGCCCGGCCCTGGGCCGGCCCGGGCCGGCCCTAAAAATTCCCAGGCCTGGATTTGACTGCCCGATTGAAGGCAGCTAAGAGTTGGCCTTGAGAAATGGATTGACATTGACATGATTCCAAATCCAAAAAAAGCCTCTGGTAAAATGGAGCATTGGCACTCTGCCAAGTCCATAGCGATCCTCTCAACGGCGAAAAATACTAACAAGGGCTCTAGTTTTAAAAAATAAACGCAAAATCAAGACTTGGCATTTACAAAAACCCTGATCACGAGAAAAAAATTGACAAGGTAGCGTGAGGAATGGTAAAAGGAAGGATCCTGTTTCCTACGTGCAACGATCCCTCTAAAAAAATATTTCAGAGCCTTCCGGCATCTGATAAAATCTTTTTGAGGTCGAGAAGTATAAATAGCTGAAACTCCAAAAACCAGGTCTAGAGCAATCGGTATCGGCTTGGAAACCCTCCCAGATCGGTTTTTAGTGCTTGGATTTTCGTCAAAACTTGCCGAATTTTATTGTGTTACCACGTCAAAGGCACAGAAAGTACACTAACCTATTTTCCATGCCAAATCACAACCGCGCAGCTGCCGATTGTCGACTCGACGCAAAAAATGTCGTAGAATCGTGTCTCAAAGAATTTTAGGAAGATGTGACGTTTGCCTCGCCTCACGTGGTCGTGGGCTATTTCAGGTTTCCCCTATTTGCCCTGGGGCGGCCGATTAGATCAAGGATATTTCCGATGAGGGGTCGCGGCGTTTGATCTTTGGGTGGTTGTGTTTTGGTCTTGTAGCGTATTCATTTGATCCGTTTTAGAGGGCAGGCTAACAGAGAATTTTGAGGAATTGCGATGGAATAGCGAAGAGTCCAATACCTGGTCTAGGCAAGCTAGCAGCAATTATTTGAGGAAATTCACCTGGCCCGCATTAAAAACCAAAATTTTCTTAGCTAGGAATTTTAGGAATAAGAATTTGTGGATAGAATATACTGTCAATATTCGATTTATGCCTTCAAAAACAGGGCCAGCTAGCAGATATTTCTGCGGGTTTCCCTCGAAACTGCGAAAAACGGCCGGTTTTGATGATGGCCGTTAGCCAAAAAGTCATAATTAGCATTTAACAATTGTAATAACTAACATCTAATTGTAAGATCCGAATTTTTAGTTTCATAATTTATCACACGATTTCTACAATTCAGATTTTATTTTGAGAATTTCGATCACAGGAGCTGAAGAACACAAAAATAGCAGTTTCACAACCAGGAAAATGATAGTACCAATCGTCGCTTTGGAATTTCAGTATCGGCAAATAGAAGAACACGGGGAGAGCTATGCTGAATGCAAAATTTTGAAAAATAAAAAAAGAAATGCTGAAATCACAGAAAATTTACAAGAAATGAAAACTACAAATAGAGCGGATCGTCGTAGGCGGCGATTTTGAGTCGTACTCGCCCCTCGGCAAATTCTTTCACTTCTTCTCGGCAGTCATTGTCTAAAAGGGTGATTAAAAAGTCTAAGCCCAAGCCTAAGACTAAGCCTAAGCCTAAGACTAAGCCTAAGCCTAAGCCTAAGCCGAAGCCTAAGCCGAAGCTAAGCCTAAACCTACCTGTCAATGCCATCACCTCCATCCGTGCTACAAGTCGATCTTTTGACATCCGACGGTCCTCCCAGATTTCGAGCATGTATTTTTGCTGCGCTGATCTTCTAAAATCTCTGTTTTTTGGAGCTAATGAAAAGCTAAATCAGGTTTTATAGGCTATTATTGGTGTAAGAAACTTTTATATGTTAAAAATTACTTGAAAAACACGAATTGCTCGTCCCACTGCGGTTTCGTTGTGTCGCGAATCGTACGCGTTCGCACCTTTTCCTTCTGGTCGTTGATGACACAATAGAAATCTCCTAAAAAATTGGAATGGATGCTTCTGAATCAAAGACCAGTCAATGAAGAATAAATACGCTAAAAGACGTAATGAATTCCGCAAGAGTCTGTGCTAGTTTCCTCAGAAGCTCATAATTTCGCGTGTCACCATCCCTTTAATCCCTGCTACCTGAAGCAGTTGGAATCTCAGCATCCATGATATGGACTCTTGTTACATATCCGGTTGATTGCCAGCACCATCCTTGAGTTGGGGCATGTTTGGTCAACGCCCGGATGTTCAGCTTTTCGGAGGAGTATGCCTGGAAAAGAGCATGATATAATTGTGCTGGACCGAAAGAAAGTTAACGAGAGAGCGAGAGAGCAAGAGAAATAGACAGAAAGAGAGCGGGATCGAGAGAGAGGGAGAGAGAGAGAGAGAGAAAGCTCTTAAAACCAACCCTTAGCATATAATTAGCTTGTTCTCTCGGAGCATACGTCGTTGGCAGCAAAATGTAGCGTCCAGGCCGCAGATCGATTATGTGTAAAAATACAGATCGAGCATTTGCATAATCCGAAGTTTCGATGGGTTCGGTTGGCTTCAAAGGCATTATTTGGATTTGTTAAGGTTCTTAAAATACCTGATGGACTCTCGTAATCCGATTCCTCTCCACCCTCATGACGTGCATTCCGATACAGACAAATGGTTCTCTCCTTTTCTTGCCTTCTCCCACTTCACGTTGTGTTAGGGCGAACATAACCTCGTTTTTCTCGCCGACCACGTCGAAAAGGTACTAGAAAATCATCGTAAGTGTTGGCAGGTCAGTTACTTTAACTTATCCTAGTTTTTGAGACGTTTATAGCAAATAAGGTAGGAGAAAATTTTAACAAATGCTTTTTTGCGCTCATTTTTTGATTTTTTGAGTACCTCCACGACATCATAAATCTTGCATAAAAGAGATAGAGTGAAGGTGCCTAACGTACCTGAGGATTACTACAGAAAGAAGCTGGAAAGTTTAGACATCCACCCGCCATATCACCAGGCGCCCCGCTCCGTGCCCCATTTGAGGTCCATTGGCCGAAGAATATCTTTTCGTCATAGCTAAAAATAAGTTAATTGTACAGGTTTTTATACCAAAAAGGGATGTAGCAAAGGCAAAAAATTAGAACAAGTTAAATAAGCTATTTTGTAGCTATTTCCGAACTTGCCGCGAGATCGGAGAAGCTTGATGCCGTTTGGATTGAGGTCTGTGCAAAGGAATTTACGTATTTTTTACATTTTCTTGGGATGTAATTTTAGGAATGCCAAAAGCTAAAAAATCTACGAAAAGAGAAATATTCAAATCAATATTTCAATGCTGGATATCACTTACTTCTTCTCCAACGAAAACACGGAGGTATTGAAGAGTTGGCAGACGGAGATATCAGTGAAATACTGCGCAAACGACTCCCAGGGCATCCAGAATTCACCGTCCTCATCTACCGTAATCCCGAGGCTCTTCTTTGTCAACTCTGTCACCTAGAGAAACTTGATTAAAAGGTAGATTAGAAACGAAGTTCGAAGTACTGGACTCGCCTGTTCCCATTCAGGACTACCATCACTCCACGGTCCGTTCCACTCCTTCTCACCCCACGGGTTCTGGAGCCGGATCATTCGCTGGGATTCGGTTTTGCCGAGTAGGAAGGTACTGTAATTTTGTCATTAAGTCTTGAAGCAGACTCGAAAATACGTTTTCAAACTTTCGAGAATGATTTTCATTCTGAGTGGGTGGCTTGGTTTTTATAATTTTCTCTAGTGAGCTTGTCAATTTCTGGCTTCAAACCCGGAAGTTAAGCTTTTAAGGGCCTACAAAAGTATGAAAAAGATGATAAAAAGGAAAATTAAGCTGGCATAATATACTTACGTAAGCGATCTTCCTTTCGCATCCAACTCAATAAAGCGAACGTCCGTCACAGCGTAGGCGTGTCCTTTTACAAGACCACAAGCTAGCGTTTCCTCGATTTCCTCTTTCGTTCGTGCCTAAATTCCAATTACCTTTGATCATAGATACTGTGCCATAGCCTTTAATCTTGCAAAGTTCGAAGCTAGGAACGAATTCCAAGAAAAATTATGCAAGATCGGGAAAAACAGAATTTCTGTTACCCTGGCCCTCGGATTTCGTATGGAGAATCGTTTTGAGGGCTTCAAAAGGTGTTTTTTTATCTAGAGATTTCCAAAACTAACCGCTATTGCTGCAATGACAAGCGCCTCATTTTCGTAGGCCATCCTGAGACGTTCGAAGAGTTGATCGGACTGGGCGGCTGGGTCGTTGCGGAGGAATTTGACCACTAAAGGGACATTTAAGTTTTGAGAAAATAACGAGATAGATAGAGACAGAGAGGTAGAGAGAGGGGAGCGAGACAGAGGGGGAGAGTGAGAGAGAAAGAGAGCTGCCCTAGACTCTGAAATGGCTGTTTTCATAAAATTCCAAGAAGGAGAAGCTGAGAAAAACCTCCGGAAATTCGGAGTATGAAGAACGCAGAAGTATTTTTAACGACTTCCAAACAAGGACCCAAAATTAGAAAAGTACTGACCGGAAATTGTCTCCGCCACCCCTCCCGAAACATCCTGTAGCGCGTCGGACAGGTGGCCGCCGACCAGGTTCTCATAACAGCCGTAAAGCCTGAAAAATACGGATTGTTTTGTTTTCAAAATCGTAAACACAAAAACAAAAATCTAATTACCGAAATCACCTTCTAAAAGCTCATAAAAACAACAAAAACCCTCACTTTGCGAAAGCCTTCTCTAACAAGGCAGACCAGAATTCATTCGGGGTCTTGGAGCGGGCGAAAAGGAGTCGGCCGTCTCTGAAAAATAAAATTAATTACCATAATATCGATCAGAGAGGCAGATAAAGCCAGAAACCCTAGAAAATTTTGGCTTCCAAGCACCTTTAAAGGGCTTAGAAAGTGAAGAAATCAACGCCTGACGAAAACTGTGTATCGATAAGTGCGGTAAGCGCCAAAGCGCGCTTCATAAACGATACTAATGCTGGATTCTAAAACATTCGGGGCTCCTTTAAAGGTAGTTGGTAGCGAACCTTTGATAGATTTCAATTTTATCCTTAGCGTCAGATTTATCAATTTTCCATTACCTCGTCGGCAACAAATCATCCACCACCACCTCCATCCACGTCCCGAAACGCCAAAATCGAAACCGGAAGATGCCGGAATACGTGTTACCCGTCGCCCATTCCTGCTTGTGGGCCGCTGGAATCACCTGAAACATGAGTTTTTCAATTGTCTCTTTTCTTTTTCTTTTTTAATTTCATATTCAATGTCCATACAAGGAAACTGCCAACCTTTTCCAGCAAGTCCTGATTATGCGTTAATGCCGAGCAGGCGCTCACGAACCAGCAGTTCCCGAGGATACCCTGAAAAGTATAGAATTTAGAGCAGTAGGTTCTATGATTTGTGTTTTATAATTTAGCCAACGCTGGGATAGAAAGGAACAAAATTATACTTTTATATACTCCTGGTTAATTCAATCGCGTAAGTATCCGAAGGTTTTCTTTGCTTTTTTCATCTGTATCTTTTCAAATAGCGGAATTCGCGTGACAATTTCAAAAAATTGGTAAAACGTGGGATTATTAGTGGGTAAACCTCAAAAACTACTACTACCTGCGTCACATCATTAGGCGAAGCTCCTTCGACGAAAAGCTGCGGATTCGAGCAGATTTCCTGCAATTTTTGTTTTTCATATTTTCCTTTCTTTCTTTTTGACGAGCCTTGTTGTGACTTTTAAATATGATTACAGCTTTACCCATTCCTACTCCTTCCCTTTTTTAGGATTTCTGAGTACAGTTTTCTACAAAAACTCAAGCTCTCCGTTTACGTTAATGTACAAATTGCACCACGCGCTAGACCATTGGAACACATTGAATTAGGCAAGAGAGCAGGAGAGAGAGAGAGAGAGAGAGAGAGAGAGAGAAAGAGAGCCAATTCCGATGCATCTCTCCTTGGACCAAACATCCAATACACACTATCAAATCAGTAATACACAAAAATGCATTTCCACCCCCACGTTAACGCTTTGACGTCAATGCTCATCGCAGAAATTTTCCGCCCGCGCCCCAAATTTCGGGGTTGTGCGTATTTTCTTTTCAGTTCGTTCCTTTTCTTTCCTTTTCTTTCCCTTGTACACCCCCATCCGGGGCACTGGCATTAGTCATCCTCCGGAATTCGACCCCCTCCCTGCCCGTCAGCAACGTGATAAGGAAAAGCAAAGGTCAATGCCGAATTCCCGGGTTTGATTTCTCAGGCTTTTGGCGGGATTGTCGTCAGCAGGCTTTGCATTTTTCTACGGCCTCTTGCAGTCAAAATCGACGAGAGGATCCTTAACAAGCCAGGAATTTCGTTAGACTACAATAGCTACAAAGTATGGCTTGATAGGGCCATCTAGCAGCGATTTTTTTTTTGACAAATCTGGATGAAAGTGATCTCTAATTTTCCCTTTTCAGCTTTCGATTCCGAGATCCTGCTAGCCTTTTTCAACAAAACGTGCCGCCAGGGACATTCTTCGCCCAACACCGTTTTTACCGGAATTCCACCCCGAATGCCCATTTGTCAATAGGAGCATGGCGTATCCGGTGTCGCCCTTTTTTAGCACTGATTTGGTGATGGATGGGTGTCAATTCGGGGGAGATTTGCCCCCACGAACCACAACACGCTTTCCGGGAATTAATGGGTGACCGGTCGGTTGTGAAAAATCACGAATTGGCATAATTTTAGAGAGGGAATTTTGCTTTAAAGGAGCAGGCAAGGCATGAAAAAAGAAAATCTCAGGCTTTTTTATCACATAAGAATTGCTATGAGTTATTAAGCCTGCTGTCACGCTCCCTTTAACTGCGTTGCAGTGGATGCTAATCGATTACGTCATGAAATTACCTTTTAAAGGGGCTTGGAAGGCAAGAAAAAATGGATAAAAAGGAGCGCGTTTTGTCTATTCTGGATGGCCAATGCACTACGCCATGAAATTTCTCTTTCTCACTCTTCTCTCTCTGGCTCTCTCTCTCTCCCTCTCTCTCTCTCGCCTTCTTCAGATACTTTGCTTTATATGATGGACAAGACAAGCATCCGATTACGCTATCAAAACACCATATTTTGAAGCGTAAATTTAGTGGGCCTTTGATTCGGTTTATGAAGTTTATGAAACAGTATCCCTTGAATTTACGATCCCAAAACTGTCTTTTTTCGGCCTCATTGGAGCCTTGTTGGGGCCACCCTGAGCGCCCTCCTCAATATTTGCCCAGTTTCGCCTAAAAAGGCAAGCCATTTTCGGGGTGGTTGGGCGGATTGAAGAGTTGAAAAGAGACCTCAAGAAGAAGAAAAGAAACAAGCGCCTTCTCGCCCTTACTCCACGGTTATCGATTGTTCAAGAGGGAAAACACGGACGCTAGCCATTTCATTGCCCTGCAAGATCCGGCTAAAAGATGCCCCAGATTTCCGGGAAGATGACGGAAGAGGGAAGGGAGGGGGATATGGTGCAAAATGAGGAAGTCCGGGGAGATCAAGGTTTGAGGAGGAACTGGATTTGACGGAGCTTGGGCTAATTGCTGAAAATTGCAAAAAAGCTTCCAAAAATTCTTAAGCTTTCCGAATTCGATACACTCATAACAAGAAAAATCATGCGCTTGGGGAGCTTCCTACGAAACTTCCAAGGAAACAAACAACAAGGAAAAACTTAAAGAAGGATGGGAAGAGAGAGAGAGAGAGAGTGAGAGATTTCTGGAAATGTTTTGAAGCAATGAAATACTTTTTTATGCCGTAATCTCGCGGTAATTCCTTTTAAAAAAATGCTCAGAACTCCAGTTCTTGAATTTATATACGGATTTTTGAAAATTTCACGATCGTAAAACAGAAATAGATTTTTTAATTGATTCTAGCGTTTAAAAATGTCGAACAAACGTTCAGCAAATTCAAAATACATATTTTGAGCGTAGCGAATTCTAGGCGCATATTTTTTAACGAACATAAAAGCGCATTAACAATTGGCAAATAGTAAGAATACGCAAAAAACAAACCCCTGGTCGCTTCCAAACGATGTCCGAACTCCGATCGCCTTCTAGGAATAAAGAAGTGTTGGTGGGCGGGAAATCCGTGTCCACAAAATATTGGCCCGATTTCTCACATTGCTTCTTGATGTCGTTGTATCTAAAAAGAAATAAATACTTTTTATTAATTGTAAATCATAAACTAAATTAAAAACTAGAGCTACCTTTGTTGCCCAAAATAGGTAGTGCCCGCCCGGACCCGCATACGATGGGGACGAGGGTCGCTGCAAAATCAGGGGCTTTGCGTGAAAAATTCAGATCGACCAGGTGAAGATGGGGAAAGTACCAAGACATCGGAATTTTTAGGTCATCGGTATTGTATGGCGTAGTAATAGGTCTTAAAAATGTAAAAATTCTGTAAGTTTGTGGTTTTGAGTTATGCTAAAAAAATTGGATGTTTTCAAGATGATTTTGTCTTTATTGAAGCAATAATAGCAAGTTCAACCTTATACTATTTACAATCAATTAAATCTATTACGTTAAATCTGCGAAAAAATAGCTAAATAATTTTCAAGGGGCATTGAAGTAAAAACCGGGCAAGCCTGTCGGTAATTCCTATCGAAAACGCGGTCCGTGAAATGAGGAGCATTCAGGGATCCCAGGTATCAAGAACTGAAATTTTTAAAATGTCAGCAGGCTGGCTAGCAAAGATCCTTTGGGAAACGAGGTAAGAAACGGCTTTCAAACAGATTTTGGTTTATTTTCGAAGAGGAGGAAGGTGTTTTTATCAAGATTTTCAACAACCCGTTTCGAAGATCAAGTCATCCAGAAGGTAAGCTCAGAAAATAATTTTCTAGAGCCTAGGCGGCTGAATTAATGAAAGAACAGCTTGCTAAAAGCATACTTTCGATACTCGAAATTGTCGTTAACAAAAAAAGTATAGCCGGCCAACCCATTCCCCCCACCTACCCCTAAACAGGCCTTGGCGAGCGGGTGTGGGGTGGCGATCTGTGGGTCAGGGCAAGAAGGCAAGACAAGACGCAGGCCTGGTTCGGGTTGTGTGTGTATGTATGTCTGTATGTCCGCCTGTCTGTCTGTTTGTATGTCTATCTGTCCGTCTTAGATGCTGGGGTGCCTCAGAGCGGGGGCGCAGTATCTCTCGGCGGGGGTGAAATGTGCGTCTATCTGTCTGGCTGTGCACGTCTATCTGTCCGCATCCGCCTCGTCTCTCTCTCTTTCTCGCTTCTCTCTCTCTCACTATCTCTCACTCTTTTCCCTCGATTCTATACTGATAGGTAGAGACTGCGGGGAGCCCGAGAAAATGGCTGAGAAACTGCCTCGAAAACCCTGTTCTTTCCTACTTTTTCCTGTAGTTTTTTTGCTCTAACTTTTTTTATTTTGCACGGCCTGACAGCAGTACACCTGCGGAACTTGCTGAACCGGGATGCCGGGATCCTGCCTTTCTGTAGTATGCGCTTTTTTGGAACCCGGGCCCGGATCATTGGATCATTGAATCAAGCAATTATCAAGCAAATTTTGAGGAAGTGAAATTTTTGAAGATTGTCGAGAGTCATTTTTACGTAAATTTCAGAAATCCCAAACATTGCTGAATTTCTAAAACTTACGAAAAAAATCTGGATTTACAGAATCTGGAGAAGCAAACGACCAATTTTCCAATCAATTATAATGTAACGTACCGCTTCAACACACCAAGTAACCATCGAAAAAAGTTGTCCAAGCTGTCCATTCAATCGAATCCCCCAAAAAACTGTGGCACTGAACGGCGTTGGGCAAAGCGCGTCATAGTTTTGTAAACAATGGAATTTATTGGGGGTGATGATTAAAAGGAAGGACAACAAGCTGTGATCATTGGGGAAAGGGAATTTCGTGCTCTACATACGTTTCTATACAATATCAAAAATGAAAACGGTCGTGATTAGGCCTTCAACGTTCTGTTCAGACCTGTCGTCTGAACAAATCGTACAAAGTTTTACTTTATTAAAAAAATGTCGAAAATACTATGCTTTTTATTTCGATGGGAGATTCCGCTCGATCCAGTCCAACCCTTCATAGATTCCTTCGCCCGTATGTGCAGAAGTTGCTTGAATGTGCCACTGAAATATGGAAATTGGCGTAGCTAGGTTGTCACTGGTACTATCTCGCGCTCTCCCTCTCTCTCTCTCTCTCTCTCTCTCTCTCTCTCTATTTCTCTCTCTCTCTCGCTATCTTGCTCTCTCTGTCTTCTCCTAGGGCCTCTGCAATCTACCCACTTTGTGAGTCTGATTCCCTGTCGTTCCAAGTTCCTGAGCCAATTCTTCTGCCGTCAGAGCATTTGGAAGATCCTAAATTTACCCAGAATCATCGTAGTCCGTTTTAAAGGACCATCGAAGGCAAAATTCCCAAGCCCCGCCCACCTGTTTATTTGCCAGCAATAGGAAGATGGTATTTCTGAGTAAATCTTCGGTGAGGAGACTCGCCAATTTTTCCGCCGCCTCTTTTATCCGCAATTTATCGTCAGAATCCACCCACAATGACAGGAGGTTATTACTGTAAACGAAACGCTATGTACCACAAAAATCACGGCATCCGTTTTTTCCAAATAGTGCCTCCAGAGGGGGGTCCCGATGTCCCAGCACGTCAACGAAAGCTGCTTGTACTCCACGGTCTCGACGATGAAGCCTAGACAAATCGTTTATGCTCTCTGCTACCTGCTAGCTAATGCTTGTTGTCAAATGATCACGGCAAGCCCGCCTCTGCCGTTCCCAAATGCTCTCTGCTAGCCCGCCTCTGTCGCTCCCAAAAGTTCTCTGCTAGCCTGCCCCTCCATTCTTAAAAGTTCTCTGCTAGCTTGCTTCTTCCATTGCCAATTGATTTCTGCCAGCCTGGCCTCCGATTTCCAAAGGATCTATGCTAACCTACCCCTTGAATTCCCAAATACTCTGCTAGCCTGCCCCTTCCATACCCAAGTGATCTCTGCTAGCCGCCACCATTTGTTTTTAACTGATTCTTACCTGTCGTCGGAATCGTTTCCACGACCATTCCCAGCTTCATTTTATAGAGTAAAGTGGTCTTCCCGGAGCCATATAGGCCGCAAAACAATATTTTTGCCTCCCGCGGGGTCCCGCCACGATTCGAGAATGATTGCATCAAGCTGATCAACAGGCCCATTCTTGCGTCGCTTGTCGCAGCGTCGTTCAGTGCGCAAAATCTTCTAGTAGTTTTGAAGAAAGATTCTACAACTTTCGCTTTTAGCAAAAATTAAGCACAAGGTAGGCTTGGTCCGGTGACGAAACTCCGTGATCACTCAAAAACGTCTTCTTTTCAGTCAGCAGGAGGAAGGCTTATCAACGCGCTCAAAAACAGCTTGCGTCCTGGACTTGCCACACGACACTTGCGCCGCTCACTCATATATTGGTTTAAAATGTAGTATTCGGTATTTATCGGGAATTTTGACATTAAATGATCCTGCGAACAAGGTAGTCATAGGTTTGGAAACAATGGCGTTTATTGGTGGTCGAGATTCAAAATTCGCTCTGAAAAGGATGGTGTGGAGGGGCAAACAAGCAGCGATCATTGAGGAAACAATTTTTGTACTGTCCATTCGTTTCTATATATAAATAACACAAATTAGGTCTCGTTCAGGCCTTCAACGTTCTGTTCAGGTAGACATCCGGTACCGGTCGTGGCATTCTTCCTAAAAATTACAGTATTTTTTGATCTAGTAAATCAGACGATGCAGGTGAAAAACATTAAATTTACAATTTTTGAATTTTGGATATTTTGATCTGGTTTCGCCTTCTTTGCATACCAGTAATCAAGTTGACAGTGGCTTCGCCTCGGAGCTCCTTCTCGTAGTCGATCAACTGGCGCCAGAAGCCCAAATTCGGGGAGATGATCGGGCGTCTCTGAAAGGTTATTTTGCCGAAAATTCTTGTGTTTAATGCCTAGGAGGTCTCTGCTAGCTTGCCCTAAGCCTAACCCCTCGGTCTAAGCCTAAGCCTAAGCCCAATCCTAAGCCTAAGCCTACTCGACGATGTTTTTGGGTGGGAATGGCTCCACTCGGATGATAGACAATTGAACTTTCGATCTCAAACCTGCGGTATCTCAAACTACACATTTCCTAAATGATCCTCATTCCGTCTGGCATTTCCGGACCCTGAGATCATGTACCTGATTGAGATGATAGTACGCATCACGAAGGCTCATCCCAAAGCCCTTCACAAGATAGGCCAGGCAGAGGGAGGCAGCCCGGCTGACCCCGGCCGCGCAAAATATGATCGCTTTGCCGCCCTAAAAATTTTTATAGATTTTTTTAAGCACTTTAAGCTACCCGCGATATGATTTTACATAGCTTCATCACTTCTCCATCGATTTCCAAGCTTCAAATTTTTATTTACAACCCATCTTTCCAGATTGCTAGAGTGGTTCTCCAGCGGTTTTTGAACTATTCCAAGCCAACGAAAAATGGATAGTTCTGCCTTCGTAAATATTTCTAAACCAGAAAAGATGCCTTAAGATAATCATCATAGAGCCTTCATACTCCTGGTAGCTTCCCAGAAGTATTACAATCATTAAAGTTTAAGCTACAAACAATTTTTCATAAGATTTTGAAGATGATCCGCCCTAAACAAGAATTTTTTAGACGTGTTACGACATTTTAAGCTTATAATGTTTTTCAATTTTTCGACTCGATGCTCCTTCCAAGCCACTTGAAGCCCTTAAACAATTTTCCAAGCAATTTTTAGCAATTTTTTAGATCATTTTAGACCATTTTTCTGTATTTTCTGTACTCTCTTTCTTAATTCTCTCTTATTCTCTGTCCCTGAATTGCAAAACACTTTATTTGTAAAAACCCAAGGAGTATTTACAAAATACGAAGGAGATGTGGGCGGGGCAGGGCAAGATATAAGAATTTTTGGGGGGTGAGATGGAACGACGGCAAGGAAGCGACTTCTGCTGCGGCGATGTTGTAGTTTGTAGTTTAATAGCCGGAGAGCTCCTGAAAATAGGGATTATATAATCTTGCATACATTGCTTTATACATCTTTTTAATAAAGATTGGAGCTTGACCCTGAGCCTATCAGAGGCTTTGCTTAGCTCGAGCTCCGCTTGGCTGTGCTTTGTTTAGCTTGAGTTTGGTTCAGCTTGCGTTTTGCTTAGCTCGAGTTGATTTGAGCTTTGGAGTTTGAGTTCGCTGAGCATGATCCTTTCTAGCCTCAGCTTCGCTTAGATAGATTTTGAGCTCCATCTTCAGATCAGCTACGACTTTTTGAATCGGTTTAGGCAATTTTTTCCTTTAGCTTGGCTTATTTTTGAACTTGACCTTGAGTTTGGCTTAGGCTCAATGCAGAGTTTGATCGGGCCGGTTTGAAAATTCCTTTTTTAGCAGAGTTTTTCTGCAAATCAGTTGGGTTTCACTAACCTGGAAAGTGTCGTCCAACTCGTCGGAGATGGCGGCATAGCGCTCCTTCTCGTGGACGAGCTCGTCCTCGAGACGGTCAACCTCCTTCTGCAGCTTCTGCACCGAGCGCTCGGCGAATTCGGCGCGGGTCTCGGCCTGAAAAATGGACAATAAAACTGGATAAAGATATCGAATTAGCGCGGATTAAGCTCATTTCTAAAAATTGGCGGTGAATTCAAGAAAAAACTGAGTATCAAATTGAATTGAAAATTAAAGCAAACTGATTTCTCAAAATCCAGATATCAAACGCATTATAAGCCTCTCCAGAACGCTAAATCGAGAAAAACACAGCAAAAATTCTGCAGAAAATTTTTATGGGGTCGAGAAGTGAAAATAAGGTACCCCAAAACACAAAAATCTGCCAAAATCATGAAAAACTGACCTCCTTCAGCCTCTGGGTGATGGTGCGGATCTGGTCGCCGAAGGCGTCTTCCCTCTGCATAGCCTTCTCCTCGGAAACTTCCAGGGATTTCAAGTTGTTGCCGACGACTCGGAGCTCCTCCTCAAGCTCGACGATCTTGCTGAAAAGAATGGGTTTAATCTGTTTAGCTGAGGCTCAAAGCTAAGCCTAAGCCTAAGCCTAACCCTAAGCCTAAGCCT